CCAGTCTGGATTTTTCTTTCTTTTTTTTTTTTTTTTGAGACAGGGTCTTATTATGTAGTTGAGACTGACCCGGAATTCACTATGTAGCCCAGGCTGGTCTCAGACTCACAGCGAGCGATCCTCCTGCCTTAGCCTCTTGAGTACTGGCATTACAGGTGTGCGCCACCAAGCCTGGCTGGAGTCTTTTCTCAGTCTTTCCTTGCAGGTCTCTGGTGTCCAGGCCCTGGGGCATGAAGGAATCTTGGGGAGGGGCATGAGACACTAGGGGCAAGATGGGCCCCAATGGGCCAAGATATCATGACTCACCCCTCTTAGGCATTTCTAGGGTCACTTAGTAAGCCTAGGCTTTCCTTCCCCACTGGCCCCAGCCCAGTCACCCACGAGGCTTTGTTAGTGCACCCCTGGGGGGCGGGTGAGGCAGTCCTTACTATCATGATGGAGTCTTAGGAGCCTTTCATTGCCCAGGCCCTCCCTCCCTCCTTCTTCCTGAGTTAGTCCGGGGCATTATGCTCCTGGTTTTCAGGAAATCAAGTTCTTATTCCATGTTTAAGAGGTTATGAGCCTCCTGGTTTCCAGTGAAGTGTAGGGAGTGAATGAATGCTGGGTGTATACCCACTGGCTGTCCCTCAGCACATCTCTCTCGGTTCTGCCCCAGGTCTGCCTCGGCCACCTCTCTGACACTGTCCCGCTGTGTGGATGTGGTGAAGGGACTGCTGGAGTAAGTGTGTGTGCATATGTGCGTGAAGGGGCTGGGCCTTTTGGAGCCCCGTGGCAGACTTCCTAAGTCCAGGCTTGTCTGTGTATGTGCCTCAGTTTGTCTATGCATATGGTGCCTGTCTGTGTGTGAGTCCATTGGGCCCCAGAGTCAGGATCTGGGTGTATGGCCTCATTTCCAACCCTTCCCAGCTATCTTCCGACTCACAAGGCTCTCCCTTCACCCAAGATCTTCACAGGGACCCAAGAACTCCAGCCTGAGTCTGGATGGGAACTCTTACTCAGTTGGGAAACTGAGGCTCAGAATGTCACAGATTTGTTCAGTCACAGAGCCAAGCAGTGACAAGGCAGAGACTGAAATCCCAGCTCTGAGATTTCCTTGCATCCACCAGTGCTGCCCAGTCCTGGGCCTGTCTCTGTGTACTGCCCCCATCCCCCATCCCCACAGGTGTCAAGCTGGCTTGGGGAATATGCTCACTGTGGCCTGATGCTGTTCTGTTACCCGCTGTGTTTGCTTCCTGTTGTTGCTGCCTCTGGGGATCTTGAAGCCCCCATCTCAGAAACCTTGCTGAATGCCCTTCTGACCCTCACCTCTGCAGTTTTAAGAAGAGGAGAGGTCACTCAATTGGAGGTGTCCCTGAGCATCGATACCAAAGCATCCCTGTGTGTGTGGCAGCCCAGCTTCCTTCCCAGGCTCTGGATGTTCTAGTAAGGAAAGAGCTGGGCCTCATTTGTGGGGTGCTAGTATGGGAGTACAGGCACTGGGGTGGGCTGGGGAAGCAAGGCTGGTCCCTCAGTGGGGGCAGACGTTTGCCTTTACACCCAAATGGTAGGACTGCTCGGGGTTTACAGTGAGGGCACAGACAGGAGCGGGAGACAGGAGGTTGGGAGAGTAGGTGGCTCAACAGCAGAGTGTGGGGATGGCACAGGGGAGGCTGCTGCAGGGTCCAGGCAAGGTGTGGAGAGCTGCTTGGGCCAAGTTTGAGGCAAAGTTAAGGCAGAGATGGGGCCTGTGGGTGGGGTTACCAAGCCAGTAGTAGGCTGGTGGGTGTCCACAGGCACACATGAGGGCTTGTAAGCAGGCACAAAGAGGTGTGTATGGGAAGGCCAAGGCACCAACCTGCCCTTGCCCCACAGGATGCCCATCTTTCTGAGGTCATTGCCGTTCGTTTTGGCCCTAACAGCAACCTCCTGGCCACTGGCGGGGCTGACCGCCTCATCCACCTCTGGAATGTTGTGGGAGGTAAGGTTCCCTCCCTGCAGGCCAGCCAGTGCTTTCCCTGCATGCATCCTCGGCTGACTCCAGGTGGGCCATGGTCTTGGACCTCTTTGTGTTGCCCCACTGGGAACACTCCTGTGGATAGTGGCTAGAGAACCTCTTGGTAAGAATGGGACCCTGGGTCACTGTGCTGAAGAAGGGGAGAGGCTCTCTGCTCCTGGGTTCCAGACCTGCAGGGGAGGGCTGATCTCCGGTGGTCCCTGCCAGAGGAGGGGGGATTCCCTACATGAGGTCCTATAGGGACGGGGCTTTGACGAGCAAGTACCTGGGTCCATCAGGCCATCTCCTCACTTGCGCTCCTTGTAGTCAGAGATGAGACAGAGCCTGTCCACAAGGTCCCAAGCTTTGTGCTTTGTATGGGCATGTGTCAGGTACTCATTTAGCTCCTGGAGGCTTCCTAGGAGACGCAGGTCTCTAGCTGGCCCAGCTTTGCTTATGGTGTGACATAGGGACAGTCCCTTCTCTCTGGTCCTTTGCATGATGAGCTGCCTCCTGCGATCCACTGCCGCCAGCAGTCATGGGAGTTGCAGCCTCCTGCCCAGGTTCCAGGACAGCCAGTGATTCTGTGTGCTGTGGAGGAAATGACTGATCTTCCCACTCTATCCCGGTTCCTCTATTTCATGAACGTAGTGACCTCATGTTACTACTCCCATCCTGTTGCCCCCAGGACGCCTGGAGGCCAACCAGACCCTCGAGGGAGCTGGTGGCAGCATCACCAGTGTGGACATGGACCCCTCGGTGAGAGGACTTTGCCCCATAGACATGAGATATTTTCCCCAATCTCCATGTCAGGCAGATGGGGCTCTGGAGCCAGGGTAAATATTGTGGTTATCCTAGAACTGGGCCCTTGAGCTCTTCCCTGGCCTAAGATTCCCTGCTTTTTTTTTGTTTGTTTTTTTTGCGGTGCCGGGGATCGAACTCAGGACCTTGTGCTTGCTGGCAGGTGTGGCACCACTGAGCTAAATCCCCAGCCCTTCCCTGCCTGTCTTGGTGACTTGGGTCTCGGGAAGCTCTGAAGCAGCCCCTAGCCCAGCTCTCTGGCCTGAGGGTTGCTGCTCTGGCCAGGCCCAGGCTCAGGATCCCTCTCACCCTCATTTCTCTAGGGCTCCCAGGTTTTAGCAGCTACTTACAACCAGGCTGCCCAGCTCTGGAAGGTGGGAGAGGCACATTCCAAGGTGAGACCTGACTGGGGAGGAAGGCAGCCTAGGAGTCAAGGGTCACACCTCTGGATTTGGGGGGGTCTGTTATGGGGTCTTGGGCACGCCCTTGATCCATACCTGCGATGGAGCAGGAGACACTGTCTGGACACAAGGACAAGGTGACAGCTGCCAAATTCAAGCTAACAATGCACCAGGCAGTGACTGGGAGTCGAGACCGCACAGTGAAGGAGTGGGACCTTGGACGCGCCTACTGTGAGGCCCAGCCCCACCTCCCCTGCCCACCAGCCAGCAGCCCCCGGATGCAAGGGACCTCACCCTGTTCTCTGGGATTCATAGGCATTTGGAGTGAAGCCTTCCTTAGGCTCTTTCTCCCCCTGCTGCTCTCTGCCTTGGGCTTTGGGCTGATGAAGAAGAGGTGGAGTGAGACCTGGGGGAAAGTCTTGGGAGGACACTGCCCCTTCTGGGTCTTCATGTCCTCACCACATGGGCTTGACAACCTTGAGCGTCTGTACTCTGCCCTTTGGCCCCCAGGTTCCAGGACCATCAATGCCCTTTCCTACTGTAATGACGTGGTATGTGGGGACCACATCATCATTAGTGGCCACAATGACCAGAAGATCCGGTTCTGGGACAGCAGGTGACAGGGCTGGCTGTGGGTGGGTATTCGAGGCCTGGGGACAGGGTCTTGGAATTCTTGTTCCTTTCTCTGGCCATGGCAGGAAGGGTCATGGAGGCACCTCAGGGAAATGAGGCTGCTGGGCCAGCTGGTGGCCTCTGCTCGGCATGGCCCTTTGAAGGGTCAGCCTACCCTTCCAGGAGCTGTGCCACTTTCTTAGTGGCTCTTGGTCCAGCACTGGAGTCTGCCTTTACAATCAAGATGGATGAGCACTTTTTCTTATTTTGCTATCAGTTTTTAATCAAGAGGAAAAATTTAGTTTTTTAAACCGAAGAGCCTGGCACTGGATATGAACCATTTACAAAAGCAGAGTGAGAGCCAATGCTGGGCCTGTGCAGGCTTATAGTCTGGTCTGCAGCCCCTGCCCTGAGAAGCTCTTCTCTGTAATGTTTTCATTGCTTTCCTTTTAGTGCGTATTTCAGTGACTCCAGGGTTACCAGGGCCCTGGCTCTCAACTCAAAAAGTCTACTGAAATTCCTCACTGGAGGCAGCTGGCTTCAGCGGGTGGCCTCAGCCCCAGAGAGCCAGGCCCTGGGGTGCCACTGGATTTTGTTAGCTGGCAAAGTGGCTGCAGACAGCCACTCTCTGTCAGGCCAAGGGGAGCTCTTCTTCACCCCTGTCTCTGGGATGTTCTTCAGGGGACCCTGCTGCACCCAGGTTATCCCTGTGCAGGGCAGGGTCACCTCCCTGAGCCTCAGCAATGACCAGCTGCATCTGCTCAGCTGTTCCCGTGACGACACACTCAAGGTCATTGATCTGCGCGTCAGCAATGTCCGCCAGGTGTTCAGGTACCTGCTGATCCTCTGGCTTTTGCTGGGGCAGCCAGACTTTTCCTGTACAAGGCTCTCTGGGGGCCTCCCTGGAGCTCCCTCCTGAGGTACCCAACTTTTGACAGAGGCGGCTCTGGGAGCTCCTGGCCTGGGGGCAGGGCTGATGGGGATCTCCTTTCTGATCCTGGCCCCATCTGTCCTCAGGGCCGATGGCTTCAAGTGTGGTTCTGACTGGACCAAAGCTGTGTTCAGGTGTGTCTATGAGAGCATGCCTGTGCTGAGTGTGCCCTGTCTGGCTCTTGTGTGTCCTCACCTCTTAGTCCATTTCTCTCGCTCTGCTGTGGCCACTGTAGCCCTGACAGACGCTATGCACTGGCAGGCTCCTGGGATGGAGCCCTGTACATCTGGGACGTAGATACCGGGAGACTGGAAAGCACCCTTCAGGGGCCCCACTGGTGAGCACAGCCTCCCTGCTTCCTGCCCTGCCCCAAGGCCTGCCCAACTGAAGCCAGGTTCTGACATGAACCCAAACCTTTCGTCCCACCAAAGCCCTTCACAGGTCACAATGAGCCCATCCACATGAATTGGGCCATCCTTACCACAGCCCAGTGAACTCATTTTACAGATGAGGAAATGGGCTCAGAAAGGGGCCTCAAACTGCCCAGGCCCAGCAGGGAGGGGCATAGCCTGGCTGCAGACCTTGTTGCCCCTGAAGCCTGCCCTCCCTTTTCTCAGTGCTGCTGTCAACGCCGTGGCCTGGTCCTGCTCCGGGAGCCACGTGGTGAGCGTGGACCAGGGCAGGAAGGTGGTACTCTGGCACTAGAGTGTGCCACGACTCCCCTGCCTGGGCTGCAGTGCTGGTCTGAAACCGAAGTCAAACAGCTTCCCTCTGCTCCACTGGGCTCCAGAGCCTTGTGGGTGGGTGGCCGCCAGACATATGGGCAAGAAGGCCTGGCAGGACCTGGCCTGTTTCAAAGTAGGGGTTTGGGAAATTAGTTAAAAAAAATCTTTGTCTCCCCCCTCTCCCAAAAGTGGAAAGAACTGTATCTAAACTGTGTCTGTTTGCTTCTTTGCAGCATTCTGGGTACAAGGAGACCTTTGGGCTTGGGATTGGGGTCCTCTTCCTCCTGCCTGGGGAGATGGGCACTATTCCTATCTAACCATGAGAATAGCATGAAGAGGGGCCCAGAGGCAGCAAAAAGCAGCAGCTCTTGGGGATGGGGATGTGACCCTTGGTCCAATCTGGTCACAAGGCCAAAGCAACACCATGGGCCTCCTGCTCAGGTACCCTGGATAGACTAAGGCTGTAGACAGAGCAGGGGTGGCATCCCAGAGGGGTCCCAGTGGAAAGGGTCTAATACGCCAGAGTGATGTCAGGATATTTGGTATACTGGGCCTGCCAGTAAACCAAGCCCCTGTTCCTCCAGAGGCAGAGCTCAGGGTAGAGGAGGGCAACCTAGTCTAGGCCTGGGGCTTCCCTTACATTTTTAGTCCACACAGTGACCCCAAGTACGAGGGCCCACAGGGCAGAGTCTGGCATCCCACTTTCTTCAGCAGCCTAGAGCTGGGCACAAGCCTGTGGAGGCAGATGAGTATTGATCAAAGAGCAAATCTAACTGGGTGTCGTGGCTCATGCTTATAATCCCAGTGCTCTGGGAGGCTGAGGCAGGAGGATCACAGGTTTGGTTCCAGCCTGGGCAACTTAGCAACTTAGTGAGACCCTGTCTCAAAATCTAAAAAAGGAGGGGCTGGATATTTAGTTTAGTGGTGCCACCGCCTGCCTTACAAGCGCAAAGTCCTGAGTTCTATCCTGTTATCCACCCCCCCAAAAAAAAGTTTTTAAAAAAGGGACTGGGGACGTAGGTCAGTGTGAAGGCTCTGAGTTCCATCCCCATTAGTGCCTCCCCCGCACCAAAAAAACCAAAAGCTACATCCCGGTGGTTCCCAGCTCACCCATCCCTCCAGGACTGGCAGGCAGTCCCCTGAGCTCTGGATGACAGGTCCTGGTGCCCGGTGCCTGTCATTCCCCCGCATGTTACCTCTGACCCTCACAGCCATGGAGCCTGGGGCTGCTGTGCCTGAAGTTCCTCTTCATCCCTGATGCCACTACAGGGCAGCTTTTGGATGTCTGTTTCCTCCCTGTCCCACTCCTCCCTCCTGCCTTTGCCTGAGCCAGAGTGACTTCCTAAGGTATCATGGCTGATCCTTTGAAGTTTCTCTGCTGCCTTCAGAAAAACTTCAGCTAGAAATTCGAAGCCCTTTAGATGCCATTCCTGGCCTGCATCTTCATTTGCTTTTCATTCTAAATGTGTCATACCCGTGCTTTTCTCTCTGTCCAGAATGTTCTTGTCCCTCTCACTTGCAATTCAGATTCGTCCTTAAGGCTGCTGTCACTAAGGGGCCTTCCCTCACTTGCCAGGCTGGGCGGAGGCCTCCGTTTTGCTCTCTTTGGTATCTATCCCTCTCCGTTTTAAGTCAGGGAGTTCTTTATAAAGGCCTGGGCAGAAACAGAGTATTCCCTGGGATCAGGCCTGGCCTAATGAAACCTTAGGAAATTTCTTAAGTGATCAATTTTCTTATTCAGGGATACAACAAGTTAACAGTCTACAGTTTCAAAAGCCTACACCAAACTAAGCTGCTCCCTTCAGCCCTGCTCTAGGCCCCCTGCCCTAGCTCCCAGTGGCCACCAGGGGTCATCAGTGGCTTCATTTTTGCCCAGACGCTTCACAGCCCTCTAGGAATCAGGGTCTGGAAAGACCAAAGTTCCTAGTCACCATTACTAAGAATTTAGGATGTGTAGCCTTGCTTTGCACTTCTTACTTGTCCCAACGACTATGTGATCTAGCTGTCATGTTTACAGATGAGAAAAACAAGGCTCAGACATTAAGTGACTCAAGATCAAACAGCTAATGACATAGGGAGACTGTGACTGCACTACACTTTTTTAAACAAAATGTCCAGACTTCAGGATCCCAGTTGGGCAGGGGTGAAAGGCCCTCCCCCGTGGTGTGAGGTGTTGGGGTGTGTGTGATTCCTGCTTTGTGTCTAACATGGCTTCCCTTCCTGCATCTTCTCTGTCCCTCCATTCTGGCCCCTGAACATTGAAGCTTAGCTTCTCTTGAAGTGAGGACATGCAGAGACACAGGAGTGAAGGACACTTGAATCCTGGGAGGCTGTTATTGGCTACACCACAGGCATAAGTTCCTCAATGTATGTGGTTCTGTTGTACCTCACAGGGTGGTTATGAGACTGCTTAGATGACCCAGAAGAGGTGCCCAGGAAATAATGTGACTCACTCCCTGGAACAGTGACTCCTCCACTCCCTGCATTCTTCCCTTCCACTTCTGACCACACAGCTTCTGGGTTGCAGCTGCCTTCTCTCAGGGAGCACATCCTATTTTCCTGTGTGTTTAGGAGAAGCAGGTCTGGAAGGTGAGAGGCTGAAGCTTTCCAGGGAGTGAGGTGGGCTGGAGGAAGAGATGCCAACACCCTACAGGGGATGTGCTCAAAGCAGGGTGCCCTCCTTCTGTTTTTTTTTCTTTCTCGGTATGGGGGATTGAACTCAGGACCTTGTGGCACCACTGAGCTATATCCTGGGCCCTTCCTTTTGGTCTTTTTAGCAGAAGGGCCTAGTGCTAGCAGTTGTGCCAAGCTGTTGAGAGTAAGTGCTCAGGATCCTGATGCTCAAATGCCAAAGGGCTGCAACTTTGGGTCTTTAGTAGAAAATTGGAATGACTTTACCTTTGCTGTATACATGAACTGAGGCCTAGAGAAGGCAGGAGCTTAGGGTTACCCAACAGAATGAGGAAAGGACCCAAGCCTCTTATTCTCTTTGGCAAGAACTGGACTTAGGTTCTGCTGAGGGGCTAGCCTGTTTTTGGGAGGACCAGTTCTAGGTTCTGCTCCCAGTCCAGTGTCTTGAGAAATCTTGGGCAAGTCACAGTGGCCGGGCTTCTTGTGTTGTGAGTGACCAGAGTAGACTGGGGTGTCTATCTCAGAGTGGAGCATAAGGGTTGGTCTGTTTCAGTGGAGGAGTCCACTCACTTGAATTTTCTTTTAAATTTCTTACCATCTCAAGAAGTCCATGTATTCTTAAGTCTGTTCTCAAATATGTGACCTGTTGTGTTCTCACTCTATCTTGGAATAATTGAACTGATCCAGAATGAGAGGTGAAAACAAACTGTTTTCACAAGCATAATGCCTAAAATGTCATAGTTTTATGCACAGAAAAAAATGTTTGTGAGAATACATACTACACATTCCTAGCTCCAAGAAACAGGAGAGTTGGAGGGAGCCTGCTCCCAACAGGTTAAACCTGGTCCTTAGTTTAGCTGGTTGGAAGCCAGAGAGACTCCGCCTGTACCAGGACTCCTTTATCCATCCCTGAGGCCAAAGAAATTTCTTTTCACATAGTTTACCCTCAGGGTAGAGAGTTGAGAGAACAGGCAACCAGAATAACCACTTCCTGGAAGGGGCAGTCACACCCTCTGAGGGGACATCTGTGACCCTTCTCTTACCTCCAGCAGCAGAATATGAGCTCCCTCCCCAGCACACTGTCTGCCCCTTCATTCCGCAGGTCTCACAGCACTGGTCTCATGTATGGACCTGTCTTTTTTCCCCACTGGGCAAGACCTGTGAAGGCAGAGACCATTACTTACTTATTTCCCTCTCTGGTATCCAGGATATCACACCTGGCACACAGGGACTGTGTCCCTCAGATGGATTTACTTTTTTCTCTCTATGGAATAAGTGATTTAAGGAGGGCCTAGGAGTATGTATCTTTAGCAAAAGCATGGTCTTTTTGGAAAAGCCTATTCACCCAAATCTTTTTATAAGGACACTTAGAAAACTTAATTCCATTTTTTTATTATTCAACATTTTATACATAATAAATACAAACTTTTTACAGCCACTGTAAAGAAAGCGCATGTGCACAGAGGCTCCCTCTGAGCCCTGCCCTGTGCGTGTGACACTGGGATATATGTTCTGAAGAAGGGGTTATTTTTTTTTTAAAGGAGGCATATTTTTACAACTGTTTTTTTTTTAAATAAAATTAGCAGCTCTTCCAAAATATCTTTTAAAATATAACAAAAGATTTGAAATAACTCCGAGGTTGTGGAAAACTCAAATGCAAGGACAATTTGGCTAGCTAGACAGAATACATGATGGGTTGCAAGAACTGCTCTATTTAATAAGCACTTGAGAGATTTATAACATGTCAGAAACTTCTAAAATCTTTTAGAAAACATCCTTTTATTTTGTTTTTTAAACTTAAGAATAAGTTTGATAAACAGAAAAAGACCTCATATAGATCAACAGGTTAAGAAATGCCAAAAAACACAAAACCAAAATCATTGAGAAGATTCAACAAGGACTACTGTCACTTAAGTGATCAAATGACTAACTAAAAATTTCATTAGCTCTTGGTCAAAAATCCCACAGGGACATTTGGCAAATATTTCAAATTTTAAAAATTCTTATTTTGAAAGCATAATGCAACTTTTTGGATTAAACTCTGAAAATCTGATTTCTTTTTTTTATACCAGGAATCAAACTGCTTGCCAGGCAGGCACTGTGCCACTGAGCTACATTCCCAGCCCCTGAAAATCTGATTTCTTAACAAATATTTTAAAATCAGCTGGCAAAAATACCTTGGTCCATATGTAACACATCCCCTACCTTCCATGGGGTGAACAGCCAGAGCTCCACTCTGGGCCCTGCTGCTATGGTGTGGAGAAGCCCCCTTACCAATCAGGGACACACATAGCTTCTGTTTTTCCCTGTTAGCCTGCATTTGTGCAAGCTGTGCATCCTTTAGTCCTTTCTCACAGGCAGCCACTTTCCTCCATGGGCTCACAGGGTCCTCCTCCAAAGGAAACGTCAGGGCACCAGGACCTCTGAGAGCTGCATATTCCATGAGTGACAGCTGGTCCGCACTAGCCACAATCTGGCTGTTTGGGCCAGTGTGCTGGCTTGGGAATGAAATAATTCTAGGGGCCTCCCTAGTAGAGAAGCTCAATGATGCAGACATGTATCCTCAATTTACTAGACATTCATGTTCTAAGGGTATTGGCCAGAAAAGTATATGCTGTAAAAACTAAGATGAGAACTACCCAAAGATGAAGAGAACATTAAACTGGCTCACTTCAGATCTGGAAGCTCCTTTTCTGCATTAGCCATAGCCTCCTTTCTATTAGTCTATGTGCTGGGCAAGATGTGGCTATTAGTTCAGCCCCTCCAGGTTAGGCCCACTAATACTAAATGAATGGCATAAATATTCAGACAAAGGACATTGTTATTTTAAACCTGTTAGTTGTAGAAGAGACGTGTATTAATGTAATTGGTGCTAAATTCAGGGCAGTCCATTTTTTTCTCAGTAAGGGTTCACTTTTAGTCTGGGGATAAACTTCGGGGAGGAGCCAGCCTCTCCTGATCCCTCTTTCTGTTTCCTTTTGGAGCCAGCATGATCTGATTAATACTTAATCAGATGAGCAAAAGCCACTTGGAGAAAGATGAGATTCTGCCGCATCCTCATGGCCACAGTAATATACTGTATGAGTGCACATGATTAGTAATTCTGTGACTGTGCCCTGGGATGAAGCCTGGTTTTCAGTCTCACATAAAAATGGACCACTGTTAGGCATGAGGGCTGCTCCCCTGTGCTGAGGCCCACTAGAATTTGTGCTATGGTATGAGAGATGACATAGAAAATAACAAAAAAAGGCACAAAATATTCAAAATGTGGCAAAAGTCCACCAGGCCACCCAGTCACAAAGAATCCTCCTTGGTTATTCTCTGTTCAAGAGTCATCATGCAAAGGTGCCTAAAAAACAAGACTGGCCAAACTCCAAGCCTGGCCTTGATTGTAGCTGTAATGGAGGGCAAATCCATCCTCACACCAGTGTGATCTCCACATCTTCCATCTTCTCTGCTGGTCTACGGTGGTTCTGTGTAGGCGGAGGGGGAGCTGCTCGGACCTGAGCAAGAAACAGTAACATGGGCTGTCAGTTAGCATCCTGGCAGGGCCTGGAATGTCTGCAAACCCTAACCACGCCTTTATGAAGGGCATGGGCACCCAGCACTTTCCATCTAGGATTCACTGTTCCCTGAAAAGCAGGTGTGGTACTAGATGACACTGCAAACCCACAAATCAGGTTGCTGCCTAGGCTGAAAGCCTTGTGGGCCCAAGAGTCACAGCAGTTTTAAAATCCTCAAAGTCAAGGCCTGGAGTTGACAGTAAGAGGGAAATGTTTAGAGAATTGAAAATCATGTCAGCTTATCTTAGGAGAAGAGTTGAAAGAGAGAAGGTTGATGAGGCAGGATGGGGTTAAGATGTGAAGGACAGCCAGGCATGGTGGCGCACACCTGTAATCCCAGCACTCGGGAGGCTGAGGCAGGAGGATCGCTGTGACTTTAGACCAGCCTGGGCTACATAGTGAGTGAGTTCCAGGAGAGTTTCAACTACATAGTGAGACCCTGTCTCAAAAAAAACAAAACAAAACTTCTCTGAGATAAACCTGGCAGGATCTGGAATTGACTATTTGTGGGGTTGGCTAGGGAGGTGCCAGGAATGTTCCAGAGAACTGGTAGAATGTTGGTTCCACTCATCAAGAAAGGCAACAGAGATGAAGGAGTGTGTCTAAATGATTTTTGCTGATTTTTGGGGTCTGGGACATATAAGATATGATGAGCATGAGTCTGAAGCTCAGGGAAGAAACAAAAATCTGGAAGTTGTTGGTACTTAAATGGTTCTCACAGCCACGGGAGTAGATATGTTAACCTGGGAAGAATGCATTCACTGACTTCAATAAAAACAGTCCTGGAGGGCTGGGAATTTAGCGCAGTAGTGCCGCCGCCTGACTCGCAAGTGCAAGGTCCTGAGTTTGATCCCTGGTACCAAAACAACAACAACAACAACGACAACAACAAAACAGTCCTGGGCAGAACAATGAGAAGTATCAGCAGAGATGGATAGAAGCAAAGAAGCCTGCAAAGGTCCATGAAAGGGGCCAGACAGGTGGAAAGCAAGCCAGAAGAGCCACGTAGAGCAAGTACATTAGTTTCTCTCCTTTCTCACTCTTAGCCACCAGCTCATGTTACCACTGCCTTCTGCTTGGACCACTGCTCCAGGGTCCTAATGGTTCCCTGTGTCCATTCTGCTAGCCTCCATCACTCTCCACTTAGCAGCCATAGCAGTGATTTAAAATGCAGTAACACTGTTCTTAACTAACACCCAACAAGGCACTCAGGCACATCTATTGAGTGAATGAAGCCAGTGGTTCAAAGCATGATATCAAATGCTGATATGGGGTTAAGGAAAATAAATATGCAAAGCTTCCCTTGGATAAGTAGTGTGAAAACTATAACCTTGGAGTGTAGTCTGAGGTAAAGTTGAGACAGCAGGAGAGTGAAGAGTGAACAAAAGTAACCACTTACATATTCTCCCAGAAAACAAATTCTTTGAGGCCAAGAAATATGTAATTTCATTTCATTGTCCCTCTTGCAGACAAATATAGGTGTGAAAAATAGTTTCTTACTGCTTGATAAAAGAATTGCTTCTATTTCACAATTACACTACTTTATGTTCAGAGAATTTGTTAGAATTTGAATACACTTACAAAGGTATCATCTTGTGTGCTCTTACCATGGCTGAGTGAGAAAGTTCCAATAGACTAAATGTTCCAAGTGAGCTGACTTCATAGCCTTTCAGTAGCTCATTTTACCTTCCCAACCCCTTCACCCTTTTTGGCAGAATCAGTAACATCACAAGGGTATGGGAACACATTAATTTCTCACTCTCCATTTGGAAGAACTATGCAGTCCATAACTGCTGAACAGGAGACTTACAGGTCGCAGTTTGCCATATGAGGTTTCAGGAGTCTGCCTGGATGCCTGTGAGAATCCCGGGGATTCAGCATGAAGGTTGTTTTCTAAGGGAGAGAACATACAATTATTTGTGCTGTTAAGCAATAAAATCGCTGTCGTGCTTTCTGAAGTGAAAATACATTTAGACTTCCCTGAGGACCCTTACTTACCTTGTGCTGAAGGAGATCGGGGGAAGAACTGGGAGCTCCTCTTATCTGGGCTAGGGTAAGGGCTGCTGGGAGGCTGGTCATACAACGGCAGTGGAGGCAGGGAAACGTGCGGCTTTGGGGAAGGAGAGATCTGTAGCAAGGGAGTCAAAGTTACCAAGTGCCCTTGGCCTCAAGAAGGAGAGCTGGGTGCTTCTTTGGGCTCAGCACATATTCCTCTCTGGAGCTAGGTTATAACTGTTAAAACTTGTCAGCCACATTAGAAGCAAATGGGCTTAAAATAAGCATCCCAAACCCCGTTTGTGTAATACCTAACATTTTCCCTTCACAGATCTCATATGCTACTGATTTAAATTTATCTCACATAGTGATCAAGTCAAACCATTCTCTGAGACTCCACTGAAAATATAACAAATTAGCCCATTCAGTAGACCCAGTGAAGAACAAAATGAAAACAAGTTGTGTTTTCCTGTATCTTAAAATAAAATAACTGGCTGAACTTGTGACTTTGCTAGGTTTTGTATGTAATGATTACCATGCAAACAAGATCAGCAAGCATGTTCCTTTTACTGCTACCTTCAAGTTCTGCGGTGATAGATTCCCAGAGTGACTGAATTAGGGATTTCCTATAAAGTCAAGTTGCCTATGATGACCAAAGGATAGAGCCACCTGAGTGTGGGACAGGGGCCCTGGCAGGATCTGGGTTGGGCAAGGGGGCTCTGATAGGGAGAGAAGGAACCAGCTAAGAGTTGCACTACATAAACGAATCACAGAGAATACATTTCCTATCTGGTTTACTCCATTCTCTCCACTAAACCCATCTTTCATATGTTACATACAATTTAGCATTTTGGTTAATGGATTCAGAAAACAGAATATGGGAGTCTTGGGGTGTAGTACGGCTACATTCCATAAGGGCCTCCCAAGTCTTTCTCTGGTGTCTCAAATTCAGTTTCATAGATGCCTGTCAACCAGAATTGGAATGGAGAGAGTGAGGCAGACAGATTACAGTCCATTTTTTCAAAAAGTGGAACTAGGGATTAAACTAGGCAAGTACTCTATCACTGAGCTACATCCCAACCTGAGAGTCCATTTTTGCCTGGATCAAGAAACTTGTTAGTAATTTTTTCTAATTATGTTGTAATTCAACTTTCTTCTCTCTTACGTACCTGAATCTCTTTCATCCAAGGAGTGTCACCATTTTCTGAGGCTGAAAGTTCTTCCACTAGCACCGATGGGAAAACTCCAATCCGCCCATTAAACTCCCCTTCCCAGAAGCCATCGTCATCTTGGTTTTCTTTGTTCAAGATACGGATGATTGCTCCCTCAGGAAAAGATAACTCATCATCTGTCTGGCCTTCATAATCATAAAGTGCTTTCACAAAACAGACTAGAGGGCAAGAGAGAAACAAATCTGGTAAGAACGTTTACAGCTAGACTGCTTGTGTACCCACCCCTAGGTTCACATGACAACTCAAAGACCATCACATGGGATAGGAGTAAAGCTGTAATGTTTTTACTCACTGAAAATCAACTTTAGGGTTCTACTGCACAGGACGAATGTGACCAAATACAGGAAAATCATATAGGATAGAAATAAAGTGCTTTTTAACCTACTGATGGCTTACTCCCGGGTAATACAGCTTAGGTCAAATGTGACCAAGTAAAGAGTGCCTTGTTTCAGTCTTTACCACTGGCATCTCCGTTGAGGCTGCCTGAAACGAGCTCTGCTTCCGTAGAATTGCTGGATGTATGTGACCGACTGTCCAAAGCTGCCAAGGACTGCAGCATGCTTAGTAAGCTGTTCGAAGTGGGAAACTGTAGGTACTTTTCTGGCACATAACCCACTTGGCCAACTTTATTTCGAGCCTGGTGAAAGACATGTGACAAAAAGGTTTGCATACACAATTTGAACAGGGAATAACAAGAACCAAAAGAAACTCCTAAAATGTCACAAGAAGGGGTGATATGAGCAAAGGAATATACCTTTACCCAGTCTTCCATATCTCCATCTTCAATCACTTCTAACACCTCATGTTCCTCAATGGTCAACTCATCTGGTTGAGAAGCCTGCAATGTAGGATGGTCATGGACAAAATTATAAAGGTTAGATAAAGAGCAGATGTGAGTTGGCCGTAACAAAAACCAGGGATCAAATTTTGAAATGATTTTGAGAAACAAAAGCTTTAATGCTGTAAAACTATCATAATGAGATGAAGTTTTACTGTAATGAAACTAAACAAAATAAAACCACAACAGAAACTGGATTCTCAAGAGAAAGTCAGGTTCAGTGAAGAGAGCACCACACTAGAAGGAGTGGATCTGGGTTAGAGCTCCAGCTTATGTACGTATTAGTAAGTTACTCAACCTGATGCCTCCGTTTCTTCAAAATGACAATCCTGCCATTTTCTGGAGAATGGAAGAATCAAAATGGGATGAGTAAGCACAGAACCATGATGAATTGGGAAGCACAGGCAGAGGAGAAGGCATGGAAATGAAACTGCTACAAGAGAGCTACCATGGAGGTCATGCTGTAGAAATAAAAAGAACCATGTATGTGAATTGGATGGTAGTTTGAGCAGTGCCTACACCTGATCTGCAATTGCTATAAAACATTGACTAAAAGAGGAAAATTGTGCAAAAGGAATGGCTGAGATCAGTCAAGGTCTGGATTATGCTTCAACTCCAGTGTGGAGCCTGGGCTGTTTCCCCTTGGATGCTTCTCTACAAGCTGTATTTTATTACTCTGACAGCACCAGTCACCAGATTTGAGAAAACTCTTTTGTAGCTCCGCAGAGCTTTGCTTCTTGAAGAGCCCTGCCTGTCACATGCACCAGGCAGGGGTTTGCTGGCATCTTCTGGCTCTCTAGTAAATAGCCTTACAATTTTTCTGTAAGTCCTAAGGTCAATTAAAACTATCGCCTGAAACCATAGTTTTTCTTTTTGTTTGTTTTTTTGAGACAGGGTTGCCAATGTACTTCAGGCTGGCCTTGAACTCACTATGAGGCCCAGGCTGGTCTCGAACTCATGGCCTCCTGAGTGCTGGGATCACAGGCATGCACCACCATTCCTAGTGAAACCACAGTTTTTAAAATCTCAACTGTGAAAGTGTAAAACATCTCCCAATTATACAAGCAAAAAGGAAGGCAAGAAAGTAAGTCACTTCCTAAGACCCATTTGTTACTTTGTGAACAGTGAAACATTTCATCAAAACTCAGACTCTGGATGTTTCCCTAGCTCCTTGAGATAATAAAGTACTGTATTGAAAACTAATGACCAAGACCAACCAGAGATCAAACTTTAAGTAAATTACCTCTGATCTAAATACATGAGGGAAGAACACCACTCTTTATATAGCTTTTCCAATGGAATTTCTTTGCTGCTCTTTAACCACACTGCCTTGAACCAGCAAAATGCATCCTTGTAACAAAGATATATTCCTCATTGCATGCCAAGACTTACAGGTATCAAAACAACTAGAATTTAATGTGTGTTGAGAACAAAGAAGGAGGGAGAGAGCACCTTTTGATATGTTGCTGCCTTGTGAGAAAGTCACAAGAGGCCCATGTATACTGTATACGTTGTTCAACAGAAACAGGAACCAGTGTGATTGTGCTGTCCCCCTGCACTGATGACCATTCTCCCACTAAACAAGGCTGACCTTTACATGGCAATCAAAACGTACAGAATTGGTCCCTGGGCCTTGAGGTGCTTTGGACCAGCACATTCTTCCCTGTTCACTGAAGACACCAAGCTCTTTTTTGCCTCTATGATTCTACTGGGCTTTTCCTTTGTCTGTCATGCTCTGCTCTGTCCTTCCTATATGATGGGTAAGTCAGATGATTGTGGTCTAAGTCCGGCTTCAGTCTGTTTTTATGGGCAAGCAACTATATGCTTTTGATTCTGCTTTCTTTTCTTTTATTTCCTACAAGAATGTAAACTCTATGAAGGTAGAGATTTTTATTCGTTTTGATCAGTGCTTCAAGATTCTAGAGTCTGGAAAAGAGCACAGGCCTACAAAAGATGAGTTGTTTGATAATATCTTCCTTATAGACCAAATGTTTAATAGATATTAGGAAATGGGAATAAAATGTTCAAGTGAGAAGGGGAACAAGGGAGGGGAGGGATAAGAAAAAAAGAATAGAAGGAAAAAATGGAAACAAAGCTTTTGTAAATAATGGGGGAAGCGGGGTCAAAGGGAGGGGAAGTGGGAAAAAGAAGCAAGATATATCAGGTATAGGTACAGATTCCCTATGGTGAATGTTATTATTATGTATATCTGATATGTATCAAAAGTTTTGCTTAAAAAACAATCTTCCCTATAGGGTTATTGAAGAGATTAGGAATGAAGAAACAGTGCCATTATTGTTATTCAGGATTTCTGGATCAGCTCATATATTTCCCCAGACCATCTATTATAAGCTAGTTGCTTCCACTTGGCTTTGTACATCTCTATCACACTGACTATGGTGGCATTCTAGTTGTTCTGTGGGCTCCCCATTGGAATAACTTACTGAAGGCAGGGACTATTTCTTCTCACATATCCCAGTAACAGACACCAAATGGTCAGTAAATGGCTATTAAATATACACATTTTAACCTAATATACACATCTCCTACCTCCTACTATCTGATGACAGAATCTATTGCTATCTCCATTTCTCCAAATTTTCTGTATCTTCATTTATTTATTTACTTTTGGTTTTTTGAGACAGGGTCTCACTATGTAGTTCAGACTACTCTGAAACTCACTGTGTAGCCCAGGCTGGTCTCGAACTCGCAGTGATCCTCCTGCCTCAGCCTCGTGGCGGTTTTTTTGTTTTGTTTTGTTTTTTTTTTGGTTCCATATCTTCTTTTAAAGCAATACGATTTTCCAAATTACAAAAGTAATACAGGTACATTGTATGAAAAAATACATGATTGAGATCTGAAGGTACATGCAATTTGGTATTCTTTAAAATCTGTCATTGTTTCTTCCTATATAAAAATTCTTAGTAATGTAAATTTGAATATATGTAACTATATTATATGTTGTGGTTTATGAATGGTTGATTTATTTTCTTGGATTGCTAACTTCAAGATATTATAGAGTAGTAAGTAGTAGGATGATTTTTTTTTTTTTGCAGTACTAAGGAACAAATTCAGGGGCCTCACTCATATTTGATAAGTGCTTTACCTACCACTGAACTAAATTCCCATCCCCGAAAAAATGTTTTGTGTCTAAATCATTGTCTATATTTTGGTTCCTTTACTTAGAGTGGATACTAATAGGATTAAAATCTATAAACATTTTTAAGGCTTCTAAATCTAACCATTAAATATAGTTTTCCTTACTCTCATCAGATCTAGGCTTTCTTTGTTAGTCTAGACCAGTGGTGGTAACTCCACAGCATGCATGTTACAGTAGGCTGGTTGTATCACTGAAAGTCTAAAAGGTTTGCCATCACTGGTAGACCACAGGATTCATGCTAAGGGTTAAAGTCAATCTCTGCTTTTTTTTTGAGACAGTTTCTCTCTATGCTGCCCAGGGTGGCCTCCAACTCCTGGCTCAAGTGATTCTCTCTCCTCAGCCTCCTGGGTAGTTTGGACTATAGGGGTATGCCACAGTGCCCAGCTAATCTCTCCTTATTCTCATCTGTTCTGCAAAATATGTCTACCAGGTGTGTCCAATCTGTGATCCATGGGCTACCTGTTCTCTTTACACTTGATCTTAGCCAAAAGGCCAAATTGCCTGTCCTCTTAAAATTTTTTTTTTGTCTTTGTTTTTTGAGACAGGGTCTCACTATATACTGTAGTTCAGGCTGGACTTGCACTCACTACATAGCCCAGGCTGGCCTTGAACTCATGACTATCCTTTGCCTCAGCCTCCTGAGTGCTAGGATTATACATGTGTGTAAATGTTACAATAAAAGTATGAAAAAAAGGAACTTTTGTTACTTACATATATTATCTGAGTTATATATTTTATATGTGGCCTAAAACAACAACTCTTCACTTAGTGAGGCCCAGGCAAGCTAAAAATTTGGACACATCTGGCTTTATACCATGACCAGGTTACCTTCATTTTTTGTTATTGTTTTGTTTTGAGACAAGGTCTTGCTATGTAGTTCAGGCAGGTCCTGAACTCACTACATATCCCCTCCCAGGCCGAGTTTGAACTCATGGCAATCCTCCTGGGTGCTGGGATTGCAGAGGTGCACCACCATGCCCAGCAAAGGGTTACCTTCTTAAAAGTCCAATTTGTTTTTAGGACACCCAGTGGCTCTTCCAAGCCAGGATAAAAACAAACTTATAAGCCTGGTATACCAGGCCTTTTACTGTCTGGGAACAAACACTTTCAAATCTGTTCCTCTATCCCCACTCTGGGTTCCCACAGCACTGAATGTAACCTGTCCTAAACACCTCACCTTGTCATCTCACTGGTATCTGGGGTTCTTTGCTTACAAGGCTTCTTCTCCTCCCTACCCACTCATTGTATCTAGAAAGATCTTATTTATAATCTTATTTAAATGCTACCTCATCTGTAAAATTCCTCCCAGCTATTGCAGGTAGAATTAGTGACTTTACCTTTATTATGAATCTTTTAATTTATTTTTGGTACCAGAGATAGAACTCAGGACCTTGCACTTGACAGGCAGGCATGGCACCACTGAGCTACATCCCCAGCCACCTTTACTATAAATGTTTTCATATGTTATTTTTTTCAGATTAATATTTATCCACTCCAAGATGATCCATTCCAGGAAGGCAGGGGTAATGTCATGTTCATTCTTACTTCCCAAAAGTTATCACATATTGGACACATATTGGTTGAATGATTGACTACATAGATTTTTATGGTCTAGTTAACCACAGGGACATGTCTGGGATATGCCAACAGAGGGAATATTGAATGAATGTGAGCTGTTTAAAATCATGATGCTTTCAGGGATCTTCAGTGGGAAGCCAGACAAAGAAATTTGAAAAAAAGTAAGATTAAGTTTGGCTGGTAGAAACAACTATATAGTTATGTGCGGCATAACATTTGGTCAGACACTTAGGGCTCTCCATTTAAAGGCATTAAAAAAATTTTTTTTGGTAGTGGGGATCGAAGTTGGGTCCTTGCACTTCCGAGGCAGTGGTGGAACAACTGAGCTAAATCTCCAGCCCCTAAAGGCATTAAATTTTAATTCTAGAACTTTTAAGTAAATATAACAATGAGAAGTGACATCAGAAAAAATTCTCAATCCTAGTCTTACAATATCCTATACAACATTATCAAGTTTCTCAAGAAAAGATTTCAAATTTTAAGAAGATTATCAAAACAATGTACACTGGAACACAATTTCTAAGCCTTTTAGAAAATAAGAAATATTATGAATTTAAATAAGATAAAATTAAAATTAAAGCCTGGGAACCACTGATACTGAGGAGTAAATACTACCAACTTTTGGCTATAGATGGTGGGGGAGTGAGGCTGTATGATGATTATCTCTTAGCATTTATTTGTAATCTATTAGCATTATCCTTTCCTACTGCTGTCTCCATCCAAATGGGAGCCAGAGAATGATTCATTTATTCCTGTTTTCCTTGTATGACTAATTTATTCATTCCACAATTATTCATTGACTACTGTGCACCAGGAATTGTTCCAGGTGCTCAGTACACACAGAAGATGTCCAGAAACATAAGGCTTTTGTTTTCATGGACCTTCAGTAGCAGCCAAAGAAATATGAAAACAAGCTGGGGATTTATTTAGCTCAGTGGTTCTGGTGGCTGCTTCTCAAGCACAAGGACCGGAGTTCGATCCCCAGTACCAAAAACAAAAACAAAAACAAAAACAAAAAAAACAGGTAAGATTAAGTTTGGCTAGTACCAGTAATAAGGACTAAACAGTCATGAACTGCATAATGACATTTGGTCAACAATGGATCACATGCATACGCAGTGGTTCCATAAGATTATGACGGAGATGAAAAATTCCTATACCCTAATGATAACCTAATGAAGCTATTGCCATCTGGACATTTTAGCATAACACATCATTCACATGTTTGTAAAAATTGCTGTCTGCTGTGCTGTAAAATTATAGCAATACGATTATGCACAGTATATAGTACTTGATAATGATAATAACTATGGTGTTAAGTTTATGTATTTACTATACTACATTTTTATCATTATTTTAGCATGCACTCCTTCTATTTATTAAAAAAAAATTTAAAAAAATCCCCCAAGCCAGCCTAGTTACCTGTAGGGGTTGGAGATTTAGCTCAGTGGTACAGCACCTGCCTTGCAAGTGCAAGGTCCTGAGTTCGATCTCCAGTGTAAACCAAACCAAACTAATCCAATCCAGCTTATTAAAAAAAGTTTAGGGCTGAGGATTTAGCTCAGTGGTTCTGCCACCTGCCTCATAAGCGCAAGGACCAGAGTTTGATTCCTGGTACAAAAAAAAAAAAAAAAGTTTACTAAAGTATGCTGGTTGACAGCAGCCTTGTACATTTCACGTTTTCCCCATCTCTTGATTGAATGTATTATTTTCTCTTGTGTTTAATTTCATCCTGTATTTTGTTCATAATGGCCTGAAGAACAAAATACACTATACCATATGGCTCAGATGTGTAGTAGGCTGTGCCATCTAGATTTGTGTAAGCTTATTCTGTGATGACAAAATCACTCAACAGCATTTTTCATTGTTAGGTGACACATTGCTGTTCAATAAATAAAAGAGGGCACTAAGGTAGAGAGTTGTGACTGAAGAATTGGTTATATGCTGGCTGGGGTAATCTTAGGAGGCATATTTGAGCAGGATTGATGAAGAGAAGTGGCAAGCAATCAGGATTTAGAGAAACAGTTCTAGGTAGAGGGACAGCAAATGCAAAGACGTGCAGTCAGGCAGGAGTCTGGTGCTTCTGCAACCTGAGAAGCAGCCAGAGTGGCTAACATGTTGAGTGGGTGAGGTGGGAGAACAATCTGACATGAAGCCAGGGACTACAGCCAGATCAGGCTGGACTATAATATCCCAAGGAAGAGTCTGCATTTTTTTTTTCTGCATGTGATGGAAAGCTGAAAAAGAGATTTAGCAAAAGGAATAAAATCATCTCATTTATTCATCAAAGAAAATTGTGGCTGTAAAGGAGAAAATGGACTATTGAGAGGCGAGTTATGAAAGAGGGAGAATGATCATGAAGGTACCCTTCTATTTTTATACTCATCAAAACAATGGTCCAGACTGTGATGGAAGCAAGAGAGATGATGAAAAGGGAATGGATTCAGGATGTTTCAGGGTGGCTTTACTATGATTGGCGGATGGATCAGACAGGAGAATGAGACAAAGAGAGCTGGGGAAAGGAAACTCAATTCATTTTATACTGAGTATAATGTTACTGGAAAAGCAGGGTATGGGTGAGAGAGATTAAGAAGTAATATATGAAACCAGGTTTGGAAATTCTGACATCTGTTTAGCCAGAATCCTACTTAATGTGGAGAGCAAGGGTTTTATTAGAATGAAGTAAGGCAAAGTTTTAAAAACTGATCTGTTAAACAATTTTCCTTTGATATCAATTTTGGGAATCATCCTAATGCCAAATTGGCAATTGAGACAAAAGGTAAGAGTTCTATCTACTGAAAATTTACAGAATCCCAAGTACTGTGATGTATGCTTTGCTATAAGAGTATTATCTCATTTAATCTTCACAGTGACCCTACAATACTGTCCCTACACTACAGATATGGAAACTGAGGCTCACAGAGACTAAGGGACTAGTGCAAGGTCATGAAGCTTACAAGCAGAAGAGACAAGATTTTAACTCTAGCAGTCTGATGTCAGAGCCCGAACTCTTCACCATTATGTTGTGCTGCCTCTGATACATAGCACAAGCATTAGAAGGTAGGTAGATACAGTTACTTAGAGTTGCCACAATTTAAGCAATAGGTTAGAGAAATACAAACCTTATAGGAATAAACAACTTTGCAGGTGAGGGGATAATTTCTTAAGGTGCCAGAAGGGCTGGAACTGCTGTCATCAAAAACATCCATGTTGTCTTCAAACTCTTCTCCTTCTTCTCTCTCGGTATCTGCATTAAGCTAGGAAAAATTAGAAGCCATTGGCTAGTTTGCTTACTTTAAGAAGATGGCTGAAAACAGGAAATACACTTAAACCACGATTGTTTCAAAATGTCAATTTGCCTGTTTAACTGCCCTAGATATGATTACTTATTCTCATATTTTTCATGTTATGAAGGGACAGACATTAATAAAAAGTAAAATGTCTTTCAAATATATAAGAAATAATTTCAGTGTCCTTTCAGTTTTAACTGTTAAATATTGTCAAAACCCTCTTACATTTTTAACTTATCACATTAGGAAACATTAAAAATGTTCTACCAAGGATGTGAAGAAACAGGCTTTCATCTATGGCTGGCAGAAATGTTAATTCATACATCACTTTGGGAAAATAACCTTCCTAAAAATAAAACAAGTAGTTGACCTAGTAATTCTAGTTTGTGACTCCATCATGGAGAAATGAAAGGATATAAGACTATATTCTAAGATGCTTAGCAACACTGTCTGTAGTGGCAAAAGCCTGGACACAACCCATGAAAAGATGAATGTTTTAATGAAGTATGCTTTATCCATATTACAGATACATATATATTTTTCGTTGTTGTGTTTTGTTTTTTGAGACAGGTCACTATATAATTCAGGCTGGCTTTGAAATCACTATGTAGTCCAGGCTGGCTTCAAACTCACAATGATCCTCCTGCCTCAGACTCCTGAGTGCTGAGATTATAGGCATGCACCCACCACGCCCAGCACAGATAAACAACACTCATTAAAAATAAGGAAGACCAGAAATAAATCCTCACATATATAGTTAATTTATTTTCAACAAGGGTGGTAAGATCATTTGCTGCTGTTTTCCTAATAAAATTCCACAGAATTATAGGGAGATCCTGAAGAATAAACAATACTTTTTTCCCAGCTGCATTTGTTCCCACTTTTTCCAAGACCTTGAAATATTTTCATCTACAACTATTACTGAAAATTCTTCACAGCTGAGTGAGGTAATCTTGTCCTTACCTTAATCATGTACAGTCAGTGAAGTCAGTGGCAAAAGAGGCTCAGATCCTGAATTTATTTGTTTTACTGAGACAGGGTCTATGTAGTCCACATTGGCCTTGAACTTGCTAGGCATCCCAGTCTGGCCTTGATCTTGTGATTCTTGCCTCAGTATCCCAAGGGTTAAGATTATAGGAGTGTACGACCATGTCTGACAGATCTTGATTTTTATTTATTTTTTAATTTTTTTTGGTACCGGGGATCAAACTTGGGTCCTTGCACTTGCAAGGCAGGCCGCAGAACCACTGTGCTAAATCCCCACCCCCAGATCTTGATTTTTAAAATTTCAGACTTATGAACCTACTGCTTTCCAACAGAATATTGTATCATATAAAAGGATCATATTCTAGAATCTGCCATAAAACTAACTTTAAATATGTTTTTATATACTTAGAAAACCTTGCCCTCTTAATCTAGGAAGGGTTACAGATGCTAAAAAAATGTGGATTGAACAAGTTTCTAAAAATATGTATGGAATGTTGACATGTATTGTACTCTGGCCCTGGGAATCAATCCAAAACATGTTATCTTGGTAATACTGGTTGATACTATACATTCTTTTCTCTATTTTCCTATTTTGAGTTCATTTATTGACTCAAAGTAAGGAATAAAAACCTGCAGTAACAGTGATAGTGGTTGCTGCCATAGGCTTCTGAACTGCTCCAGCAGGTTTCCAAAGCAGGTAATCTCAGAATAATTTCTTTCTTTTCCCTTTTCTAACCTCTTTACTTGTTACAATATTTTCTCAACCCAGCATTTCTATAATCACATTCTTCCTCTATCTTTACAATTGCTCTCTCAACTCTTTTTCTTCCTGTCACTTGACAGAACTTCAAGCAAAATGATTCTCTGTAGCTGTACTAATATTTTTCCTTCCTTAGATGTTGTAAAATGCTTACTCTTACTGTAAAGCAGATAAGAACAATCTTCTTGAGTTAGTTTTACTGAGAAGCCACGTTCTTATACTCAGCAAAAACAAAAAAACAAAACAAACCAATGGGTGTCAGACTTGTGGCACTGTCACAAGTAGTGGGCCCAGGGATCTGGCAGACTTGGGCATGAGTGCTGACTATGCCATTTACTTGTGTAATCCTGGGCATGCTATTTAACTTCTCAACTTCAATTACCTTTCTAGTGAAGAAAATTACTTCTTCACAGGGTTATTATAAAAATTAAATGAGGTAATGTCATGGTTTGTATCTCAATGTCCCCCCAAAGCATCAGGTACTCATATGTGGGCCTTGTGGAAGGTGGCTAGATCATGGGTGTGTGAGACTGGATTAAGGGTGTACGATAACTTTATTAGCCTACTGACTGGGTTAGCTTAGTTCTGGGTGCAGATAATAGTTCTGGGTGAACCTATTGGGTGTGGGCGGCACTAACCAATAGGTTTGCAGCTTAAACAGAATAAAAAGGAAAAGGAAGGCTCAATGCTGACTGCTTCCCTCCTGCCTTGCCATGGACTGTTTCTTCTCTTCCATGCTCCCCTGCCATGCTGCACTGCCTTAGAGCCAGCTGACTATGGACTAAAACCTCTACAGACTGTGAACTAAAACAAACTTTTCCTTCTTTAACTTTCGGGTGTTTGGTATTTTGTCCCAGTGACCAGAAAGTAACTAGGACAGTGATATAGTTAAGATCCCTAATAAATATTTGGTATATAGGAGACTTAATAAATCATTAGCTTTTGTTCTTTTTATGAGGCAGACAGAATCTAGATAAAGAATCTGGTTAACACCCAAAACAGCAAAAGGCAGCAGCTTATAGAATATTGACTAGCAGAACTTTTAAAATCCATCCAGGGCCAGGGATTTAGCTCAGTGGTTCGGTGGCCTGCCTTGCAAGCGCAAGGACCCGAGTTCAATACCCGGTACTCCCCCCCCAAAAATAAAATAAAATCCATCCAGATAAAAAAGTGATCACAGTGAATATTAGTCTAAATCTGACACAAGTAGTTATAAAAGATGATGTTAAAAATATCAGGAAAATGGATTTATGCTCCCAAGCAATAGGGACTATCAGGGGCCAGATTTAAACTTCCTGCCAGAAACAATTAAAAATTTTTCAAAGCATATGGAAGAACAGTTTTCAAGGTACTGGACATCAAGCAGTAGATAGTGATCTCTGGTGACAGGAAACAAATAATTTGCCCAACCTACTGCTGGAAAAAGTTTCCAGGTTGAGTCCTAAGGAGAGAAAATCCAGACAGGGTGGCCCCCCTAAACTGAGGAGGTGGAACTGCAAATTCAGGAAGGTCAGAGGTTGGAATTCAGACTGCAGAGTAGTGAAAAGAGAAGCATAGAGAGATCCTAGGAAATCTGCAGAGAGCCCTCAAGATTTAAACTGAGTACTGATCAGTACATTTATGTGAAGAAAGGATCCGAAGCTAGGAATAAAACCACTCAAAAGGATCACAGAAAATGATCCTCAGAGTTCACACAGATTTGCAAATGAGGGAGGGCAGGGACAAGGGGAAAAATGAGAACCAAGACCTGTCATATAAAGGTATAAGATCCCAATGATGAATGTAACTGTACTGTATACCTAAAATGCATCAATAAATTCAATGAGAGAAAAAAAAAAAAAAGAGTAGAACAGGGCATCAGCAGTTTGAGCTCTCAGAAAATCAGTAAAGATACTGAAGATTTGAACAATGTTGCCAACCAACTTAACTTACTTGATATTTATAAAACATAACACCTAACAGCAAAATACATATTCTTTTTAAGTATACATAGATTACTTACAAGATATACCATATGCTGGGTCACAAAACAAGTCTCTGTAATTACCATTTAAAAGGATTTAAGGAGGGCTGGGTATTTAGCTCAGTGGTGTCACTACCTGCCTCACAAGTGCAAGGACTGAGTTTGATCCCCAGTACCAAAAAAAAAAAAAAGTATGTTATTAGACAACTACTAAATTAGAAATTAGTAAACGAACGATGCTCAGAAAATCCCCAAATATCAGGAAACATAATAACATTTTAAAATAACCCATCCAAGAAGAAATTAAAAGCAAATTAGAAGTTATTTGAACTGACAGTATATTATTAGACTTTGTCCAATGAATCTAAAGCAGTATTTAAGAGGGGAATGCTCCTATTAGAAATGGGCACCTTTAATAGGCACCTAATAAATAAAATAATGAATCAATGACCTCAGCTTCTATCTTAAAAACTAGAAAAGAACTAGGCATGGTAGTGCACACCTACAATCCCTGCACTCTGGGAAGCTAAGACAGGGGGATTAGAAGTTCCAAGCTAGCATGGGCAACTTAGAAATTTAGAGACCTTGTCTCAAAAAATAAAAGAAGGGCTAGTGATATAGTCAGCCTGAAGATCCTGGGTTTAATCCCCAGTACTGTGCAAAAAAAAAAAAAAAAATCTAAAACAAAACAGAGAAATGATTTAAAACCCAAGGAGAGAAAAAAAAAATCAATAAAACAGAAACATGATAAGAGGAAAAAAAAGCAGTGAAATCAAAAGGTAGTTTTCCATAGATATCCATCTAATTGATAAGCTTCTAGCAGAGAGGAGACAAAAGTAGTATCAGAAATGAAAAGCGATATCACTACAGATTAGACAATCAAAGGACAGTAAAAGAATAGTATAAGCAACTTATTCTCCCACTGGTACCAGGAATCAAACTCAGGACCTTGCATTTGCCAGGCAGGTACGGTGCCACTGAGCTATATCCCTGGCCCAATACAAAGAACTTTATGCCAATACATCTGGCAACATATGGGATGGGAAAATTCCTTAGAAGAGGAAAAACTGTCCAAGTCCACTGAAGAACAATAACCTGGAGCCAGGTGTGGTGGCACACACCTGCAATCCCAGCACTTGGGAGGCTGAGGAAGGAGGAGCACCACAAGTTCTAGGCAAGCCTAGACTACATAGGAGACCCCCTCCCAACAAAACAAACCAAATCAAACAAACAAACAAACAAACAAAAAACACAAAC